ATGTCCAGGGACGAAACACCCTTAAAGCAGACGCGGTGCCAACCATCTTCTACCCCCATCGCCAGGCAAAGGTCAAGGTAAGAGTTAGTAAGAACACAACGGTAAGTAAGACTGACTCTGACACACAAGCTGTTAAATGCAGGAACTTCAGTCATGACCATGATTACAACAGTGGCACTCACAGTGAACCACTGACAGTCGAGATGAGTGTAGCCAGCTGCAGCCATAGCCATTCTGCAGATCATGGTGCATACACACTGAAAAAATCCCACAGTTCTCTAAAGAGGAAGGTGTCATTTGGTCAAAGTAGCTTGCGTCCTTACAAGAAAAAATTGAAGCTTCAAACGCAGAGAGTCAGAAGACTGAAACGGAAAGTGAAATCTCTTTCTTCACTTGTCACTGATCTGAAAGAGAAGCTGCTTATTTCCACCAGCTGTGCTGATATGCTGGAGGCTTCCTTTAGCGGTGTTGTTAAAGAAATTCTTACAAGGGCCAAGTGCAAGACTAAATCTCAAAGAATCTCTGATAATTTGAGATCTCTCCATTTCTACTCTCCAAAAGCTTATCAGTTTGTTCGTGAAAGCTTTGATTGTGTTCTGCCTCATCCTCAAACAATCAGGTCTTGGTACAGCAGCATTCCTGCAGACCCAGGCTTTACAGAGGCATCATTCGCTGCCCTACAATCCCATGTGGAGGACGGAAGGAAAGATGGGAAGGAGACTGTTTGTGCCCTTATGATGGATGAGATGGCCATCAGAAAGCATGTTGAATATGCTGAAGGAAAATTCCATGGGTATGTTGATGTAGGATGTGGCAAAGTTGATGACTCTTTACCAGTAGCCAAGGATGCATTGGTCCTTATGGTTGTAGCTGTTAATGGATCTTGGAAAATCCCTGTGGCTTACTTTCTCCTTGATGGGTTAAGCGGAAAAGAGAGAGCAAATATTGTCACACAGTGTCTTTACAAGCTGCATGACATTGGAGTGCGCGTTGTTTCCCTGACATGTGATGGACCGTCTTGTCACTTCACCATGATGCAGGCTCTTGGAGCCAATATCACAGTTGGAAACATGAGGCCATTTTTTCCTCACCCTGCAAATCCAATGCAGGCTGTACATGTGGTTTTTGACGTGTGTCACATGATGAAACTCTTGAGGAATGCTTTTGCTGATGGACGTGTTTTCCAGACAGGCAGTGGCAAAAAGATTAGGTGGCAATACCTAGAAGACCTCAACAAACTTCAGGAGACGGAGGGCTTGAGGCTGGGTAATAAGCTGAAGATGGCACATATTCAGTGGAGACATCAGAAGATGAAGGTAAATCTTGCCGCTCAAGTTTTCAGCAGCAGTGTTGCAGATGCCCTTGAATTCTGCAACAAGGAGCTCCACTTGCCTCAGTTTCATGGTTCTGAGGAAACCGTTGAATTTCTGAGAACAATCGATTTAGCTTTTGATGTTTTCAACAGCAGGAATCCCCTGGCAAAGGGTTCCAAAGCTCCTTTGAGAAGTTGTAATAAACTTCACATGCTAAGTCTGTTGGAGAGAGCTGAAAATGTCCTTCTGCAGCTCAGAGATAGCTCTGGGAGACATCTTTATGCAGGTCCTAGGAAAACGGGTCCCATTGGATTTGTTGCCAGCTCCAGAAGCATTTCCAACATTTTTAAAGAGCTGGTTGAAGCACAGGAGGCCCCTTGTAAGTATCTCCTTACTTACAAACTCAGTCAGGATCATCTTGAGCTGTTCTTTTCTGCAGTTAGGGCACGCGGAGGCTACAACAACAACCTAACTGCCCGACAGTTCAAAGCTGCGTACAAACGCCTCCTAGTGAGACATCAAGTGAGAAATGGAACAGGGAACTGTCTCATTAGAGATGGAACCAACATGTTGGCAGTGACAGTTGTTCCAGGTTCTCGTCAATTTGATGTCACACCAGCACTCCCTCTGGATTCTGACCACGACTACAGCATCCTTCCTTATGTCGATTCAATATCCGAGTTCAAGGACGCTGCTATCCATTACATTGCTGGATTTGTGGTGAAAAAGATGAAGGAGAAAATCTTGTGCATGCCCTGTTCTCTTGCACTGAGTTCAGATTCCAGCATGCATGCTTTCATTGCCCTGAAGAACAGGGGAGGCTTACAGAATCCATCAACAAGCATTGTGGAGGTGTGTAAAGCCTCTGAAAGGTGCTTTCAAAGACTTCTGAACACCAGTGGGGGAAAGCTTCCTCAAGGAAAAGGAGTGACAGCTGCCATTATAATTCAGGTTCTGAGTGATTGTGCTGACAAGAATATTTTTTCAGAGTTGCACAAACACATGTTTGAGACCAGTGTTGAGGACAATCATGTTCACACCTTGGTTAAGATGGCAGCCTCCATGTACTGCAAGATACGCCTTCATCATTTGGCAAGGCGAGAAACTGAGAAAGTAACAGGGGCTCTTGTGAGGAGGAGGATGAACAAATTAATACTTTTCCATCACCAATAGTATGGTGTTTTTAGTGCACATCTTCCTGTTCGAATACTATTTACAGCACTTTCTGTGTATCGCTCACATTTGCTTTGCTTAGAGCCCGCATCAACGGGGCATAAGCATTTGCTGTGAGAAACCTGACTTTACACGCACATGATACAAACCTGTCAACAACAGATTTTTGTTCGCTGTTACACATATGCTATCAACAAGTTATATGAGGTTTTAAGGTTTAACTGTTATTTTTTGTTATTATAGTGTACGTTCTGTTCAAATGTTACACTCAAATGTTCAATTGTTCAATTGTTTCAGTGTTATCTGTTTGTTACGTTTGTCTTGTCCTGTGTACCCACTCTGAGCCTGCACCTTGACGTGGTGAGTGGGCTTCTAACTAAGCCAGGCTACATGTTGAGAGTTAAAGCCAAGATGCTGTTACCCTTTCTCTTTATCAGACATGCTGGTGATTGCTGTTTCCAAGTTTTTCCAGTAACGAACACTGCTAAGTATGAAAGAACTTTAACTCAGATTGAGGACAGTGAAGAGCAGTACACATACAAAGCACACATACATAGTTTAGTTATAATTAGTCACTTGGCTGTTAAGCCAAGTTAAGTTAGATAACTCAGACAACATCTGTAGTTTATATTGTATTGTTTGTATGTGTCTATATTGTTCATACTGCAGTGCATACCCATGTGTTCTGCTCTTATGCTACCGTTAATATACTTTACATATCGATTCCATCGTCCGGCACGTCCACGCTACCTCAGGTAAAGGTAAGGTGCGCAGTCACTGTTTTTCTGGTGCTCGTGTTCTAGATATTGCTTGCCAGGTTCCCGAGATCCTGTCGGAGCCGTTGTCCTCCATGCTGGAGTGAACGACATCAGGCTGCGGCAGACGGAGGTTCTGAAGAAGGACTACAGGAGCCTGATCGAGGCGGTACGCAGCACAGCGCCTGAGGCAACGATCATCGTGTCTGGACCGCTTCCCACGTACCGACTAGGACAGGAAAGGTTCAGTAGATTATTTGCTCTAAATGAATGGTTAATGTCATGGTGTAATGAACAGAAACTGCTCTTTGTAAATAATTGGAATCTGTTCTGGGAGCGACCTAGGCTCTACCGTGCTGATGGCCTGCACCCCAGCAGAGTCGGAGCGGCTGTTCTGTCGGACAACATCTCCAAGACGTTACACACCATCTGACTAGTAAGTCAAAGTCTTTGCTGTCCCAACTTAATTGATATAAGTACCAGTGTAGAACATTATATAGAAACTGTGTCTATTCCTCGTTTAGTTAGGTCAAACAATAAATCCACTGTAGGATCTATGAAAAATCTAATTGTGATTAAACCTGAAAATCTAAATATTATTGCTTCAGAAACACAATTGTAATTACTGTAATGCTTTATTAGCTGGTTGTCCTGCATCCTCAATAAACAAGCTACAGTTAGTGCAAAATGCAGCCGCTAGAGTTCTTACTAGATCAAGAAAATATGATCATATAACACCAATTTTATCATCTCTACACTGGTTACCTATTAAGTTCCGTATCAATTACAAAGTATTACTACTGACCTATAAAGCCCTAAATGGTTTAGCTCCTGTGTATTTAATGGACCTTCTATCGCCCTACAATCCACTGCGTTCTTTAAGATCCCTAAATTCGAGGCTTCTGGTCATTCCTAGGATATCTAAGTCCACTAAAGGAGGGAGGGCGTTCTCACATTTAGCTCCTAAACTCTGGAATAGCCTTCCTGATACTGTTCGTTGCTCAGACTCGCTCTCCCAGTTCAAAACTAGATTAAAGATGCATCTCTTCAGCCAAGCATTCACATAATGCATCGCATACCTTTTATACCACAGTTAAATCAGACCAAATGCATAAATATTATGAAAAGCAGCTATGCTAATTATTTCCCATCTGCTTTTTTGTTATAAACTACGTCAGCTCCAGTTTGTATCCAGCCTCTCACGGAGACTTCTGATGCCCCAACACCTGCGATGAGACGACTCGACGCCGGCGATATGTTATGCCCTAAATTAATACATGATGATTAACTAACTGTATTTTTCTATGTACATTTCTGAAATGCACTTTCTGTAAAGCTGCTTTGAAACAATATGTATTGTGAAAAGCGCTATACAAATAAATTTGAATTGAATTGAATGAGTCCTAATAAAGAGAGACCATCCAGAAGTTTCTGTTTTGTCTGAGTTTTTCCTTGGTATCTACGATACAACATTGTTGATTTAGATGATTTAAGGAGTTTAGACAGTCCTTTCTCTCCTATAGCAACGAATGAATGGATTTTCTCCTCAGGGTTAGAGCATGACATCTGATGCGACACTGTAGTAGTAGACATAATAATCTGTATAAACTGTGCAACACGCAGTTTGTTATAATATAGTTTTGTGCAGAGCCGTTGAAACGTTTTCCAACATTGAAATCTACTTTTGTGTAGATTTTAGTTGATTTAAATAATAAAAGCCCGGAAGTCGGAAGTGACGCGTGTTCCAGTAGCGCGATGACGTGCTTCCGCTCAGGAGCAATGGCTCGCGCTGCTGGATGCGTTTGTTGATCAGTGATAAACGCGATTATTAGATATATTTAATAAAGTGATTTGAGGTGAGTTTGACTTTTACTCTGATCACGTGCAGCTCTTTCACCCCGCGACACGTTCATGTTCATGTTTATTATCCAGAGCTAATTCATAACATGAGATTATCGGTTTGTACAGTAAGTTATTCCCACAGCGACAGTAAAGCTGACCCCACAACAGCACCGAGACCACACACACACACACACACACACACACAGTGCTGATGCTGATGAAACGCTCTTTCTCATCATGTTTCTGGTTTCCTCGTGGCTCCTGAGGCACATGTAACGTTAGGGTTTGACTCAGAAACAAGGGATGTTTTCCTGCTCTTTACTCTTTTTACTTGATGTGTTTTATATGTGCCAGAGTTTAATGGCGAGAAATGTTATGATTTGATTAAACCGAAATATTAGCAGTTACAGTAGGATAATAATACCGCTGTAAAGTCATCGATGGTGAAACGTGTTTAACTTCTGCTGGAAAAGGCTTAGAGTCCAGAAGATGTTGCTTTAAAGACAAAAGCTCATACTAGTAGACCATTACCCTGGTGAAATAATCCATGTTTACCCTGATGAAATAATCCACGTTTACCCTGGTGAAGGAAATAATCGCCACAGAGAGCAGATGTTTGATTGACAGCATACAGAGGAGTGATTCTCTCTCTCTCTCTCTCTCTCTCTCTCTCTCTCTCTCTCTCTCTCTCTCTCTCTCTCTCTCTCTCGCTCTCTCTCTCTCTCTCTCTCTCTCTCATTCCCTCGTCCGTATGAAGGAGTGTGTGACAGATGATCTGCTGTGTATTGATGATATTCCTTTCTCTCTCTTTTGTGTGTGTGTGTTCAGGTGAAGCCGCCGGACGGTCATCATCATCATCATGGGTCGCCGCTCCACCTCCTCCACCAAGAGTGGGAAGTTCATGAACCCCACCGACCAGGCCAGTGAGTACACACACACACACACTCACTCACTCACTCACACACATACACACACACTGACTTACACAGACACACACACACACACTGACTCACTCACTCACTCCCACATTCACTCACTCACACACACTGACTCTCACACACACCAGATTACCTCATGAGGTAATGACGTAAATGACTTCTCACCTCTGTGTGTGTGTGTGTGTGTGTGTGTGTGTGTGTGTGTGTGTGTGTGTGCAGGGAAGGAGGCGCGCAAGAGAGAGCTGAAGAAGGTAAGCACACGACCTCCGCCCCCGAGTGAGAGAGTGAAGCTTCAGTCAGTGTATTCATGAGCCGGCTGCGTGTTAAAGGTCCCCTGACATGGGGTTACTTTATTATTTTATAATGTTTCCTGGGTTACCCTTATAATGTTAGTATGTTTTTTAGATCAAAAATAGTCATAATTTAGAAATAAAAGGCATTTTTCCTAGCCTGATTTTAGCTTTTGATTTGAACACTGTTTGAAGGGGCGTGTCTGCTGTGGGATTCAGTGTAACCGGCCACTGCTGTGATTGGCTGTGGGATTCAGTGGAACCGCCCACTGCTGTGATTGGCTGTGGGATTCAGTGTAACCGCCCACTGCTGTGATTGGCTGTGGGATTCAGTGTAACCGCCCACTGCTGTGATTGGCTGTGGGATTCAGTGTAACCGCCCACTGCTGTGATTGGCTGTGGGATTCAGTGTAACCGCCCACTGCTGTGATTGGCTGTGGGATTCAGTGTAACCGGCCTCTGCTGTGATTGGCTGTGGGATTCAGTGTAACCGCCCACTACTGTGATTGGCTGTGGGATTCAGTGTAACTGCCCACTGCTGTGATTGGCTGTGGGATTCAGTGGAACCGCCCACTGCTGTGATTGGCTGTGGGATTCAGTGGAACCGCCCACTGCTGTGATTGGCTGTGGGATTCAGTGTAACCGCCCACTGCTGTGATTGGCTGTGGGATTCAGTGTAACCGGCCTCTGCTGTGATTGGCTGTGGGATTCAGTGTAACCGCCCACTACTGTGATTGGCTGTGGGATTCAGTGTAACTGCCCACTGCTGTGATTGGCTGTGGGATTCAGTGGAACCGCCCACTGCTGTGATTGGCTGTGGGATTCAGTGGAACCGCCCACTGCTGTGATTGGCTGTGGGATTCAGTGTAACCGCCCACTGCTGTGATTGGCTGTGAGTCTTCAGTGTAACCGCCCACTACTGTGATTGGCTGTGGGATTCAGTGTAACCGCCCACTGCTGTGATTGGCTGTGGGATTCAGTGTAACCGCCCACTGCTGTGATTAGCTGTGGGATTCAGTGAAACGGCCCACTGCTGTGATTGGCTGTGGGATTCAGTGTAACCGCCCACTGCTGTGATTGGCTGTGGGATTCAGTGTAACCGCCCACTGCTGTGATTGGCTGTGGGATTCAGTGTAACCGCCCACTGCTGTGATTGGCTGTGGGATTCAGTGTAACCGCCCACTGCTGTGATTGGCTGTGGGATTCAGTGTAACCGCCCACTGCTGTGATTGGCTGTGGGATTCAGTGTAACCGCCCACTGCTGTGATTGGCTGTGGGATTCAGTGTAACCGCCCACTGCTGTGATTAGCTGTGGGATTCAGTGAAACGGCCCACTGCTGTGATTGGCTGTGGGATTCAGTGTAACCGCCCACTGCTGTGATTGGCTGTGGGATTCAGTGTAACCGCCCACTGCTGTGATTGGCTGTGGGATTCAGTGTAACCGCCCACTACTGTGATTAGCTGTGGGATTCAGTGAAACGGCCCACTGCTGTGATTGGCTGTGGGATTCAGTGTAACCGCCCACTGCTGTGATTAGCTGTGGGATTCAGTGTAACCGCCCACTGCTGTGATTGGCTGTGGGATTCAGTGTAACCGCCCACTGCTGTGATTGGCTGTGGGATTCAGTGTAACCGCCCACTGCTGTGATTGGCTGTGGGATTCAGTGAAACGGCCCACTGCTGTGATTGGCTGTGGGATTCAGTGTAACCGCCCACTGCTGTGATTGGCTGTGGGATTCAGTGTAACCGCCCACTACTGTGATTGGCTGTGGGATTCAGTGTAGCCGCCCACTGCTGTGATTGGCTGTGGGATTCAGTGGAACCGCCCACTGCTGTGATTGGCTGTGAGTCTTCAGTGGAACCGCCCACTGCTGTGATTGGCTGTGAGTCTTCAGTGGAACCGCCCACTGCTGTGATTGGCTGACATGCTTGCATATGAAATAGCTACATATTACATGCGAAACTCTCTCGAATACTTTTACTACAGCTATTATATGTTTTTACTATATCGAGATTAACAAATCTTGAGAAGTTTTAAAGTATTTAGATCTATTCCCATCACATAAAATGTTGCCGTGATGAGCATTGAGCAGCAGATGACAGTGTGTTGATCGCGAGCATGAAGATCTTATCTTTGCAACGCAGTTTCTGCACTCTCTAATGCTTTCACCAGTGCAAACACGATGATGTAAATACAGTAAGAGCTTCGTTGTGCAGTGTAACGTGCGTCATTCATTTCATAACCAGTGTCCAGATAAACTCGCCTGTGTGGAAAGATTGTTCTTTGATCGCTTTCTGTATACTTTGTTCACAATTTAAATAAGATTATTTTCATCCTACTAAAAGAAACGATGTGAAGTTGATATTTTAGTCACTGGCTTGACTTACTTATGCATAAACAGTATTGAACGATTTTGAGAGAAAGATTACCTGTCTGAACTTGAACAATTACACATCAGAAAGTGTTGCTTGGTAGCTCGATGATTTATTCTCAGACGTTCATCGAGGCCAGCTCTGGCCCAAGTTGAGGAAACAGTCGTCGGTGAAATGTTTGGACCATACACAACTTTGGGAAGTTGTGTCGGCGCATTTCCAGAGAAAATAAAATTAACCCATTGTTTCTTCAGAGGCTCGGATGAAGGAACTAAAGAATACTTTTGTGTTCATTTGTACATCCGAACACTGATCAACTGCCATGCTTCGCTCGTTTGCAAGCCATGATATCTCTCCAGGAAAAACTCTAATCGCGCTCGCGCATTCACTCCCTAGCTCGCTTTCTCATGGCGAGCCGAACTCTCTGAGTGGGCAAAGCAGAGAAAGGGGAGGCTACCGTTCCTCCTTATGACGTCATACGGAGGAGATTCAAGATCAGCCCGTCTGAGCTCTCATTATCTCACAGGCAGAGAGAGACAGCCAAAGCTCGGTTTACACCGACTGACATGTCACTGGGGGACCCTATACAGGCTAGGGGAACTCATGTTAATGCTACAAAACCTCAGAAAGTGAAGATTTCATGTCATGAGACCTTTAATGTTGTTCACACTACTCTCAGTTATTACAGTTAATACAGTTAACTATATTACAGGTAATATCATCATAACACATTATCATCCGCTGGAGGTAAGCATGTGTGTGTGTGTGTGTTGTAGAACAAGAAGCAGAGGATGATGGTCCGAGCGGCTGTGCTGAAGATGAAGGACCCGCGGCAGATCATCAGAGACATGGAGAAACTCGACGAGATGGGTGAGTGTGTGTGTGTGTGTGTGTGTGTGTGTTTACTCAGAGCAGACGTCTGACTCTTCTCTCCAGGTCTTGGTCATGTGACGTTCGCCAGGAGTGTCTGAATTCAGCTGAGTTTCATGAGTGGTTGTGCTGGAGACACGGCACTGATGGTGTGTGTGTGTGTGTGTGTTTCAGAGTTCAACCCTGTGCAGCAGCCGCTGCTGAACGAGAAGGTGTTGCGCGACAAGCGTAAGAAGCTGCGCGAGACGTTCGAGCGAATCGTGCGCCTGTACGAGCGAGAGAACCCAGAGACGTATAAGGATCTGCGTAAGCTGGAGGTCGAGTACGAGACCAAGAGAGGCCAGCTCTCGCTCTACTTCGACTCCGTCAAGGTGTGTGTCCAGCACACACACACACACACACACACACACACACACTCTTCATGTGCTTTAGTCTGGCCGCTGCAACACAGCTGGTGATGCTGTAAAGATGCAGAATAACATGAAATATGATGTTAGTAATGCTGGTTTCTGTGGTGTGTGTGGTGTGTGTGTGTATGGTGTGTGCGTCTGTGGTGTGTGTGCGTCTGTTGTGTGTGTGTGTCTGTGGTGTGTGTGTGTCTGTGGTGTGTGTATGGTGTGTGCGTCTGTGGTGTGTGTGCGTCTGTGGTGTGTGTGCGTCTGTGGTGTGTGTGTGTGTCTGTGGTGTGTGTGTCTGTGGTGTGTGTGTGTGTCTGTGGTGTGTGTGTGTGTCTGTGGTGTGTGCGCCTGTGGTGTGTGTGTGTGTCTGTGGTGTGTGTATGGTGTGTGCGTCTGTGGTGTGTGTGCGTCTGTGGTGTGTGTGTGTGTCTGTGGTGTGTGTGTGTCTGTGGTGTGTGTATGGTGTGTGCGTCTGTGGTGTGTGTGCGTCTGTGGTGTGTGTGTGTGTCTGTGGTGTGTGCGTCTGGTGTGTGTCTGTGGTGTGTGCGCCTGTGGTGTGTGCGCCTGTGGTGTGTGCGCCTGTGGTGTGTGTGTATGGTGTGTGCGTCTGTGGTGTGTGTGTGTGCGTCTGTGGTGTCGGTGGTGTGTGTGTGTATGTATGGTGTGTGTGTCCACAGAACGCGGAGTCGGTGGAGGTGGACAGTATTCCTCTGCCAGACATGCCTCACGCTCCCTCCAGCATCCTCATCCAGGACATCCCACTACCTGGAGCCCAGCCACCCTCCATCCTGAAGAAGAGCTCAGCACTCGGGTCAGAACACACACACACACACACACATACATATCCCACATACAGGTCCTCCATCTGATCTGGATACGGCCCGGATCCGGCTGACTACATCATGTGTTGTGGTCGTGTCTAGGCGCAGGTCCTCCATCTGATCTGGATACGGCCCGGATCCGGCTGACTACATCATGTGTTGTGGTCGTGTCTAGGCGCAGGTCCTCCATCTGATCTGGATACGGCCCGGATCCGGCTGACTACATCATGTGTTGTGGTCGTGTCTAGGCGCACGTCCACCATCTGATCTGGATACGGCCCGGATCCGGCTGACTACATCATGTGTTGTGGTCGTGTCTAGGCGCAGGTCCTCCATCTGATCTGGATACGGCCGGATCCGACTGACTACATCATGTGTTGTGGTCGTGTCTAGGCGCAGGTCCTCCATCTGATCTGGATACGGCCCGGATCCGACTGACTACATCATGTGTTGTGGTCGTGTCTAGGCGCAGGTCCTCCATCTGATCTGGATACGGCCCGGATCCGGCTGACTACATCATGCGTTGTGGGCGTGTCTAGGCGCAGGTCCTCCATCTGATCTGGATACGGCCCAGATCTGGCTGACTACATCATGTGTTGTGGTCGTGTCTAGGCGCAGGTCCTCCATCTGATCTGGATACGGCCCAGATCTGGCTGACTACATCATGCGTTGTGGGCGTGTCTAGGCGCAGGTCCACCATCTGATCTGGATACAGCCCGGATCCGGCTGACTACATCATGCGTTGTGGTCGTGTCTAGGCACAGGTCCTCCATCTGATCTGGATACGGCCCGGATCCGGCTGACTACATTTTGTGTTGTGGTCGTGTCTAGGCGCAGGTCCTCCATCTGATCTGGATACGGCCCCGATCCGGCTGACTACATCATGTGTTGTGGTCGTGTCTAGGCACAGGTCCTCCATCTGATCTGGATATGGCCTGGATCCGGCTGACTACATCATGTGTTGTGGTCGTGTCTAGGCGCAGGTCCTCCATCTGATCTGGATACGGCCCGGATCCGGCTGACTACATCGTGTGTTGTGGTAGTGTCTAGGCGCAGGTCCTCCATCTGATCTGGATACGGCCCGGATCTGGCTGACTACATCATGTGTTGTGGTCGTGTCTAGGCGCAGGTCCTCCATCTGATCTGGATACGGCCCGGATCTGGCTGACTACATCATGTGTTGTGGTCGTGTCTAGGTGCAGGTCCTCCATCTGATCTGGATACGGCCCGGATCCGGCTGACTACATCGTGTGTTGTGGTCTTGTCTAGGCGCAGGTCCTCCATCTGATCTGGATACGGCCCGGATCTGGCTGTCTACATCATGTGTTGTGGTCGTGTCCAGGCGCAGGTCCTCCATCTGATCAGGATACGGCCTGGATCCGGCTGACTACATCATGTGTTGTGGTCGTGTCTAGGCACAGGTCCTCCATCTGATCTGGATACGGCCCGGATCCGTCTGACTACATCATGTGTTGTGGTCGTGTCTAGGCGCAGGTCCTCCATCTGATCTGGATACGGCCCAGATCCGGCTGACTACATCATGTGTTGTGGTCGTGTCTAGGCGCAGGTCCTCCATCTGATCTGGATATGGCCTGGATCCGGCTGACTACATCATGTGTTGTGGTCGTGTCTAGGCGCAGGTCCTCCATCTGATCTGGATACGGCCCGGATCCGGCTGACTACATCATGTGTTGTGGTCGTGTCTAGGCGCAGGTCCTCCATCTGATCTGGATATGGCCTGGATCCGGCTGACTACATCATGTGTTGTGGTCGTGTCTAGGCGCAGGTCCTCCATCTGATCTGGTTACGGCCCGGATCCGGCTGACTACATCATGCGTTGTGGTCGTGTCTAGGCGCAGGTCCTCCATCTGATCTGGATACGGCCTGGATCCGGCTGACTACATCATGTGTTGTGGTCGTGTCTAGGTGCAGGTCCTCCATCTGATCTGGATACGGCCCGGATCCGGCTGACTACATCATGCGTTGTGGTCGTGTCTAGGCGCAGGTCCTCCATCTGATCTGGATACGGCCTGGATCCGGCTGACTACATCATGCGTTGTGGTCGTGTCTAGGCGCAGGTCCTCCATCTGATCTGGATACGGCCCCGATCCAGCTGACTACGTCATGTGTTGTGGTCGTGTCTAGGCGCAGGTCCTCCATCTGATCTGGATACGGCCCCGATCCAGCTGACTACATCATGCGTTGTGGTCGTGTCTAGGCGCAGGTCCTCCATCTGATCTGGATACGGCCCGGATCCGGCTGACTACATCATGCGTTGTGGTTGTGTCTAGGCGCAGGTCCTCCATCTGATCTGGATACGGCCTGGATCCGGCTGACTACATCATGTGTTGTTGTCGTGTCTAGGCGCAGGTCCTCCATCTGATCTGGATACGGCCTGGATCCGGCTGACTACATCATGTGTTGTGGTCGTGTCTAGGCGCAGGTCCTCCATCTGATCTGGATACGGCCTGGATCCGGCTGACTACTTCATGTGTTGTGGTCGTGTCTAGGCGCAGGTCCTCCATCTGATCTGGATACGGCCTGGATCCGGCTGACTACAGCATGTGTTGTTGTCGTGTCTAGGCGCAGGTCCTCCATCTGATCTGGATACGGCCTGGATCCGGCTGACTACATCATGTGTTGTGGTCGTGTCTAGGCGCAGGTCCTCCATCTGATCTGGATACGGCCCTGATCCGGCTGACTACATCATGTGTTGGGGTCGTGTCTAGGCGCAGGTCCTCCATCTGATCTGGATTCCGCCCGGATCCGGCTGACTACATCATGCGTTGTGGTCGTGTCTAGGCGCAGGTCCTCCATCTGATCTGGATACGGCCTGGATCCGGCTGACTACATCATGTGTTGTGGTGGTGTCTAGGTGCAGGTCCTCCATCTGATCTGGATACGGCCCGGATCCGGCTGACTACATCATGTGTTGTGGTCGTGTCTAGGCGCAGGTCCTCCATCTGATCTGGATACGGCCTGGATCCGGCTGACTACATCATGTGTTGTGGTCGTGTCTAGGCGCAGGTCCTCCATCTGATCTGGATACGGCTCGGATCCGGCTGACTACATCATGTGTTGTTGTCGTGTCTAGGCGCAGGTCCTCCATCTGATCTGGATACGGCCCGGATCCGGCTGACTACATCATGTGTTGTGGTCGTGTCTAGGCGCAGGTCCTCCATCTGATCTGGATACGGCCCGGATCCGGCTGACTACATCATGCGTTGTGGTCGTGTCTAGGCGCAGGTCCTCCATCTGATCTGGATACGGCCCGGATCCGGCTGACTACATCATGTGTTGTGGTCGTGTCTAGGCGCAGGTCCTCCATCTGATCTGGATACGGCCCGGATCCGGCTGACTACATCATGTGTTGTGGTAGTGTCTAGGCGCAGGTCCTCCATCTGATCTGGATACGGCCTGGATCCGGCTGACTACATCATGCTTTGTGGTCGTGTCTAGGCGCAGGTCCACCATCTCATCTGGATACGGCCCGGATCCGGCTGACTACATCATGCGTTGTGGTCGTGTCTAGGCGCAGGTCCTCCATCTGATCTGGATTCGGCCCGGATCCGGCTGACTACATCATGCGTTGTGGTCGTGTGTAGGCGCAGGTCCTCCATCTGATCTGGATACGGCCTGGATCCGGCTGACTACATCATGTGTTGTGGTCATGTCTAGGCGCAGGTCCTCCATCTGATCTGGATACGGCCTGGATCCGGCTGACTCCATCATGTGTTGTGGTCGTGTCTAGGCGCAGGTCCACCATCTGATCTGGATACGGCCTGGATCCGGCTGACTACATCATGCGTTGTGGTCGTGTCTAGGCGCAGGTCCACCATCTGATCTGGATACGGCCCGGATCCGGCTGACTACATCATGCGTTGTGGTCGTGTCTAGGCGCAGGTCCTCCATCTGATCTGGATACGGCCCGGATCCGGCTGACTACATCATGCGTTGTGGTCGTGTCTAGGCGCAGGTCCTCCATCTGATCTGGATACGGCCCGGATCCGGCTGACTACATCATGCGTTGTGGTCGTGTGTAGGCGCAGGTCCTCCATCTGATCTGGATACGGCCTGGATCCGGCTGACTACATCATGTGTTGTGGTCATGTCTAGGCGCAGGTCCTCCATCTGATCTGGATACGGCCTGGATCCGGCTGACTCCATCATGTGTTGTGGTCGTGTCTAGGCGCAGGTCCTCCATCTGATCTGGATACGGCCCGGATCCGGCTGACTCCATCATGTGTTGTGGTCGTGTCTAGGCGCAGGTCCACCATCTGATCTGGATACGGCCTGGATCCGGCTGACTACATCATGCGTTGTGGTCGTGTCTAGGCGCAGGTCCACCATCTGATCTGGATTCGGCCCGGATCCGGCTGACTACATCATGCGTTGTGGTCGTGTGTAGGCGCAGGTCCTCCTTCTAATCTGGATACGGCCCGGATCCGTCTGACTACATCATGTGTTGTGGTCGTGTCTAGGCGCAGGTCCACCATCTGATCTGGATATGGCCCGGATCCGGCTGACTACATCATGTGTTGTGGTCGTGTCTAGGCGCAGGTCCTCCATCTGATCTGGATTCGGCCCGGATCCGGCTGACTACATCATGCGTTGTGGTCGTGTCTAGGCGCAGGTCCTCCATCTGATCTGGATACGGCCCGGATCCGGCTGACTACATCATGCGTTGTGGTCGTGTCTAGGCGCAGGTCCTCCATCTGATCTGGATACGGCCCGGATCCGGCTGACTACATCATGCGTTGTGGTCGTGTCTAGGCGCAGGTCCTCCATCTGATCTGGATACGGCCCGGATCCGGCTGACTACATCATGCGTTGTGGTCGTGTCTAGGCGCAGGTCCTCCATCTGATCTGGATACGGTTGAATATAAGCAATCAGAAAAGAGAGATGAGGTTGTTGTTTTTTTGGGCGATCTTCGTCCTCAAGTTCTCGTACGTGACAGTGACGATCGATCTTGAGTACTCTGAAACACTATTACAATATCAAATATGTTCAGCGAAGTGTCAGCGTCAGGACTGTGTGTTGATGTGTGTTAATGTGTGTTTCAGGAAAGGTTCAGCGCTCTCTGCTGCTGCTCTGGCTGGAGTTCCTCGTCTGCCGCCGGGACGCAAACCACCAGGACCCCCTCCAGGACCCCCGCCACCACAGATCCTGCAGCTGTACGCCAGCACACGCCGCACAGGTACACGCTACACACATGCCACACACCAGATACACGCTACACGCACGCCACACACCAGATACATGCTACACACACGCCGCACACCAGATACACGCTACACACACGCTACACACCAGATGCATGCTACACACGCATGCCACACACCAGATACACGCTACACGCACGCCACACACCAGACACAGGCTACACACACATGCCACACACCAGATACATGCTACACACGCTACATGCCAGATACACGCTACACACACGCTACACACACGCCACACACCAGATACACGCTACACACACGCCACACACCAGATACACGCATGCCACACACCAGATACATGCTACACACGCTACATGCCAGATACACGCTACACACGCTACATGCCAGATACACGCTACACACACGCCACACACCAGATACACGCTACACGCACGCCACACACCAGATACATGCTACACACACGCCACACACCAGATACACGCTACACACGCATGCCACACACCAGATACACGCTACACACGCATGCCACACACCAGATACACGCTACACGCACGACACACACCAGACACAGGCTACACCCACGCCACACACCAGATACATGCTACACACGCTACATGCCAGAGACACGCTACACACACGCATGCCACACACCAGATACACGCTACACGCACGCCACACACCAGACACAGGCTACACCCACGCCACACACCAGATACATGCTACACGCACGCCACACACCAGATACACGCTACACACACGCCACACACCAGATACACGCTACACGCACGCCACACACCAGATACACGCTACACGCACGCCACACACCAGATACATGCTACACGCACGCCACACACCAGATACACGCTGCACACACGCCACACACCAGATACACGCTACACACACACCACACACCAGATACATGCTACACGCACGCCACACACCAGATACACGCTACACACACGCGCCACACACCAGATACATGCTACACGCACGCCACATACCAGATACACGCTACACACACGCCACACACCAGATACACGCTACACACACGCCACACACCAGATACATGCTACTCGCACGCCACACACCAGATACACGCTACACACACGCCACACACCAGATACACACTACACGCACGCCACACACCGGATACACGCTACACGCACGCCACACACCAGATACACGCTACACGCACGCCACACACCAGATACACGCTACACACACGCCACACACCAGATACACGCTACACGCACGCCACACACCAGATACACGCTACACGCACGCCACACACCAGATACACGCTACACGCACGCCACACACCAGATACACGCTACACGCACGCCACACACCGGATACACGCTACACACACGCCACACACCAGATACACGCTACACGCACGCCACACACCAGATACACGCTACACGCACGCCACACACCGGATACACGCTACACGCACGCCACACACCAGATACACGCTACACACACGCCACACACCAGATACACGCTACACGCACGCCACACACCAGATACACGCTACACGCACGCCACACACCAGATACACGCTACACGCACGCCACACACCGGATACACGCTACACGCACGCCACACACCAGATACACGCTACACGCACGCCACACACCAGATACACGCTACACGCACGCCACACACCAGATACACGCTACACGCACGCCACACACCAGATACACGCTACACGCACGCCACACACCAGATACACGCTACACGCACGCCACACACCGGATACACGCTACACGCACGCCACACACCAGATACACGCTACACGCACGCCACACACCAGATACATGCTACACACACGCCACACACCAGACACATGCTACACACACGCCACACACCAGATACACGCTACACGCACGCCACACACCAGATACATGCTACACACACGCCACACACCAGACACATGCTACACACACGCCACACACCAGACACATGCTACACACACGCCACACACCAGATACATGCTACACACACGCCACACACCAGATACACGCTACACGCACGCCACACACCAGATACATGCTACACACACACCAGATACACGCTACACACATGCCACACACCAGATACATGCTACACGCACGCCACACACCAGATACATGCTACACACACGCCACACACCAGACACATGCTACACACACGCCACACACCAGACACATGCTACACACACGACACACACCAGACACATGCTACACACACGCCACACACCAGATACATGCTACACACACGCCACACACCAGATACATGCTACACACACGCCACACACCAGACACATGCTACACACACACGCCACACACCAGATACACGCTACACGCACGCCACACACCAGATACACGCTACACGCACGCCACACACCAGATACACGCTACACGCACGCCACACACCAGATACACGCTACACGCACGCCACACACCAGATACACGCTACACACACGCCACACACCAGATACACGCTACACACACGCCACACACCAGATACATGCTACACACACGCCACACACCAGATACACGCTACACACACGCCACACACCAGATACACGCTACACACACGCCACACACCAGATACATGCTACACACATGCCACACACCAGATACACGCTACACACACGCCACACACCAGATACATGCTACACACACGCCACACACCAGATACACGCTACACACACGCCACACACCAGATACACGCTACACGCATGCCACACACCAGATACACGCTACACGCACGCCACACACCAGATACATGCTACACACACGCCACACACCAGACACATGCTACACACACGCCACACACCAGACACATGCTACACACACGCCACACACCAGATACACGCTACACACACGCCACACACCAGATACACGCTACACACACGCCACACACCAGATACACGCTACACACACGCCACACACCAGATACATGCTACACACACGCCACACACCAGACACATGCTACACACACGCCACACACCAGACACATGCTACACACACGCCACACACCAGATACATGCTACACACACACGCCACACACCAGATACATGCTACACGCACGCCACACACCAGATACACGCTACACACACGCCACACACCAGATACATGCTACACGCACGCCACACACCAGATACACGCTACACGCACGCCACACAACAGATACACGCTACACGCACGCCACACACCAGATACACGCTACACGCACGCCACACACCAGATACACGCACGCCACACACCGGATACACGCTACACGCACGCCACACAACAGATACACGCTACACACACGCCACACAACAGATACACGCTACACGCACGCCACACACCAGATACACGCTACACACACGCCACACACCAGATACACGCTACACACACGCCACACACCAGATACACGCCACACAACAGATACACGCTACACGCACGCCACACAACAGATACACGCTACACGCACGCCACACACCAGATACACGCTACACTCACGCCACACACCAGATACACGCTACACACACGCCACACACCAGATACACGCTACACACACGCCACACACCAGATACATGCTACACGCACGCCACACACCAGATAAATGATACACACACGCCACACACCAGACACATGCTACACACACGCCACACACCAGACACATGCTACACACACGCCACACACCAGATACATGCTACACACACGCCACACACCAGATACACGCTACACGCACGCCACACACCAGATACATGCTACACACACACCAGATACACGCTACACACATGCCACACACCAGATACATGCTACACGCACGCCACACACCAGATACATGCTACACACACGCCACACACCAGACACATGCTACACACACGCCACACACCAGACACATGCTACACACACGCCACACACCAGACACATGCTACACACACGCCACACACCAGATACATGCTACACACACGCCACACACCAGATACATGCTACACACACGCCACACATCAGACACATGCTACACACACACGCCACACACCAGATACATGCTACACACACGCCACACACCAGATACACGCTACACTCCAGCCACACGCTACACTCCAGATACACACTTCAGCCGCTACACTCCAGATACACACTCCAGCCGCTACACTCCAGATACACACTCCAGCCGCTACACTCCAGATACACACTTCAGCCGCTACACTCCAGATACACACTCCAGCCGCTACACTCCAGATACACACTCCAGCCGCTACACTCCAGATACATGTTACACACACGCCACACACCAGATACATGCTACACACACGCCACACACCAGATACACGCTACACTCCAGCCACACGCTACACTCCAGATACACACTTCAGCCGCTACACTCCAGATACACACTCCAGCCGCTACACTCCAGATACACACTCCAGCCGCTACACTCCAGATACACACTTCAGCCGCTACACTCCAGATACACACTCCAGCCGCTACACTCCAGATACACACTCCAGCCGCTACACTCCAGATACACACTCCAGCCGCTACACTCCAGATACACACTTCAGCCGCTACACTCCAGATACACACTCCAGCCGCTACACTCCAGATACACACTCCAGCCGCTACACTCCAGATACACACTCCAGCCGCTACACTCCAGCCACACGCTACACTCCAGCCACACGCAATATGCCAGGTTCACACTACACACAGCACATGCACATCAGATGCACGCCACATGCTACATGCCAGATACACGCTAACACTGAGCCAAGGTCTTTAGCTTAAATTCTTTTACCAATTCAAACTTTCTTCAGGTTTTTTGTTGATCGTGTTTTATGTGTTGTGTGTGTGTTATTCCCCGCTCACTGTTGTGTGTTAATGTCAGAGGGCAGCGGTGGCTCAGACACTGAAATGATGGACACTGGTGCACGAAACTCTGACAGCGAGAGCGACACCGACGACGACGACAGCGACTCTCAGGACGACAGCGGCGGAGAGAGAGACAGTACAGATGCTGGCGCGCGAGTGACGGCTGATCGCCACGACGACCGCGATGAGGAGAGAGACCGGGGCGAGAAACACACAGGTGGCCTTCACTAACTGCAGCCATGGAGTACAGATATGAGTGCTGTAACTCCAAGCTCTTTCCCCAGAATTGTGTACAAACATAAACTAAAAAAACATGTTTTCTGAAGGGAACGCGACTGGTACTTAGAATTAATATCATTTCATACTAAAGTGTTTTCTTATGAGATATTTGAGTCAGTTTTTATAAAGGCATCTTTACTTTTGACCGTTGGGATCAATGACTGTTGCACTGTGTGTGTTTCCCTCAGGTCGCAGTGTGCGGTTCGCAGACATGCCTCCGCCCAAAGACAAGAGGAAGAGGAGGGTGGTGAAGACGAAGAGCATTACACCGCTGCAGGCCATGATGTTGCGGATGGCAGGTGTGTGTGTGTGTGTGTCGGTCAGCACTGATGAAGAGCGTGAGCTCACTCTCAGACAGGAGTGGCATACAGACGTGTGTGTGTGTGTGTTCAGGTCAGTCTGTCCCGGAGGAAGAGGAGGAGGAGGATGAAGAGGAGTACTCGGACTCTGAGGAGTCGGATGCTGAGGACCAGGTCTCTGCCGAAGCCGCTCAGTCATTGGTCAATCCTAGACTTTCTGTTCCATCGGCACCAATGGCAGCGCAGCAGCCTCCTCCACACATGCAGGCTCCACCAATCACAGGGCCTCCTCCTTTAGGACCGCCTCCTGCTCCTCCAATGAGGCCGCCAGGCCCGCCGTCCGGCCCGCCTCCAGGCCCGCCTCCCGGTGCGTTACACCACTCATCATCATTATGCTAATGAGCAGCTCATTAACACTGGAGTCCTTAATAAAGCACTAAATAAAGCAGTGAAAGTAATGTTAGTGATTGTGTTGTGATGCAGGCGCTCCCCCGTTCCTGAGGCCTCCTGGACTCCCCGGGTCCCTCAGGGGCCCGATGCCTCGCCTGCTGCCTCCAGGACCCCCCCCGGGCCGCCCCCCCGGCCCTCCCCCGGGCCCCCCGCCGGGCCTGCCTCCAGGACCCCCGCCCCGAGGGCCCCCGCCCCGCCTGCCCCCTCCGGCCCCGCCAGGTGTGTGTGTGTGTGTGTGAACGACTCATAATAATGGCCACACTGATGCTTTAATATGCTGTTGTTGGTTTGCAGGAATGCCTCCACCCCCCCCTCCGCCCCGCTCCGGCCCCCCCCGCATGGCCCCGCCCCCCTCTCTGTTCCCGCCTCCGCTCACTCCCAACGTGCTCAGCGCTCCGCCCAGCCTCCGCCAGAAGACTCCTGCGGCTCCGCCCCCCTCTGGCGACGCCCCCCTCCCGCCTCCCCCCAGAGGCTCCGCCCTGCAGATGCCGCCGCCCCCCGGCACCTCCGCCCACCCGCTCGCCCCCACCATCGAGAAGCGGGCCACCGTCGCGGGCGGCTCCGGCCCGGCCTCGGCCCAGCCGGGGGGCGCCACCATCTCCGCCAAGCCCCAGATCATCAACCCCAAGACAGAGGTGACGCGCTTCGTGCCCACGGCGCTCCGCGTGCGCAGGGACCGGGCCGGCGGGGCCGGAGGGCCGGAGAGAGCCAGCCGGAGGGAGGAGGAGCCTCGACACCAGGCCGCCGCCCACCCGAGCCAGCCGGACCGGCCCGCGCCGCCCAGCATGAAGACCAAGGACCAGATGTACGAGGCCTTCATGCGGGAGATGGAGGGCCTGCTCTAGCTGCGCTCACTAGCCGCTGCCTGTCCGTACCAGTGGCGCTCGCTTTAGAAGCTCTTTTGTACCTTTTCTCTCTGCAGCGTCACGTGATTGTGTTTTATCTGTAAACATGAATAAAAATGTCAAACCCCTGCCGAGTCCTTTGGTAATGATGTTGGTAAATGATGTTGTCTATTACCACCTGACCTCGAATAGAGCCGGTCAGGACTGACAGCGGAGCGGCATCTGTGTTCAGAAGAACGGTTTCCTGAGGAGCCACTGAAGGTGGAGTAATAACTCGACAAGTAAACAGTATTCTGCTTAATCCTACATACATTAGTGTCTGAACTTAAAACTTGACATCTACACCCTTTATTCAAATACCTTTAATGTGTTGAAAGATTTTGTACGCATATTGTGTTGGGATTTTTTTTTTACTTTTTGAACAATTCTTCTAAAAAAACGCTTCGCTATAATTTGGTTGTTTAAATAAATTAAACATGTGAGCTTTGCTTGTCACATTAGGATAAATACAAATGCTAATTTTAAGTAATTGAGGAAAGATGATGAAATATGACGTAGATGTATATCTATATATTTAATGGTGTTCGGTTTGAACAGAACTCAAGTAAAGTACAGATTACCCATAATAGTTTCTCATTAAGGGTTTGTGTCATTATTTGAATATAATATAATATTGAATAAAATTCATAATCGATAAACACACAATGGTGTTAAAATCCAGTCTGGCTGTACTTTCTCGCACAATCTTTTTATTTATTTATTTATTGAATTTTAAGAATTACAATTTCAGTCAGGGGCTTTCTCACACACACACGCGCGCGCGCGCTGTTTCCTCCGTCACTTCCGCTCGAGGGCGGGGCTTCAGCAACACGTGGGTAACGCGCCGCAAACATGGCGGATCCTAGAGAAGCGTCTTCAGATGAAGAGAAGAAACACACACACAGAGCCGAAGACACACACACCGAAGACATGAAGCCGAGCGAAGACACACACACCGAAGACATGGAGCCGAGCGAGGACACACACACCGAAGAGACACACAAGAGCTTCAGAGACCTGGTGAGACACGCGCACAGTCATCTTCATCACACTCGGTTATTACTGTTAACACGGGCTGTTTACATTAGTGCCCATTACTTTCGTGATGCGAAATGACTCTTTCTGTCGTTTTCTATCAGAGAGGCTTTGAACGTTAATTATTGTGTTGATTTCACGAAACTCTGGTGCGCGTTCCCGCCGCCTGCTGGTCGACTCGAGAAGCGCGCGCACATCAGTCCGTTTAATACTGTGTATTCTGTATGTCATCTAATTAACAACTCGAGAAGCGCAGTGTGCAGTTTCTGTGTACATTATACTTTTGTATATTAGTAATTGTATATTTCTATAATTATGTTATTTTAATAATAATAATTGTATATTGGCTTACTGTGACTGATAAGAAGCTTTATTGTTGTTGTACACAGTTGAGTGAACACACATGTATATGAAGTGAACACACACACACACACACACACACACTGAGAGTGTTTGTGCTGTTTCAGGGCGTCACTGAGGTTCTGTGTGAAGCCTGGGTTAGTTCTTGTACACACACACACACACACACAGAGGTTCTGAGTGAAGCCTGGGTTAGTTCTTGTACACACACACACAGAGGCTCTGAGTGAAGCCTGGGTTAGGGTTAGTTGTTGTACACACACACGCATGTATGAACACACACACACACACACACACACACACACAGAGGTTCTGAGTGAAGCCTGGGTTAGGGTTAGTTGTTGTACACACACGCATGTATGAACACACACACTCACACACACACTGAGGTTCTGATTGAAGTTAGGGTTAGGTGTAGTACACACACACAGGTGTAGAACACACACACGCATGTATGAACACACACACACACACACAGTTGAGATATCTTAGAGAGCAGGGTGGCCGATATAAAGCCGATATTTATATTTAGGCTATAGATATACACACGCTAGGGATGCAGCGATTACCGGATTTCACAATTAACCGCGCTTTAACACGTCACGGTTGATTAATCGTAAAGCCTATGCTACACCGAGTGTTCTGCACAGAAAGGAACAACTAACACAAAACGAACACACAGCGTGCACCAGCTTAAAGTGCCGTGCTCATCGCCCATATGGCAGAGGGACTAGCAGCGCCGCTCTATTTCCTAACGCTTAAGGGCCAGTTCAAATATCACGTCTTTTGCGCGGTCAAGTTCGTTATTTCACATGTAGGCGCGCGGGATGCACGCTCATAATGGAAGCGACTTTTTTCCAAGCGCGTCCGCGCCGCATCGAGATAAAAACATCTCTACTGTTCTCAATGTTTTGGTGCTCGTACACACCGGGTCGAACATCGGCGCGCGTTATTCGCCAGTGTTTTTCAACGCGTTTTTTGTGTTCACACCCAAGCGATTTCCGCTGACGTTGAGCCGAGTGAACACGCAAATTCATTCCCTGACATTAGATGGCGCTTAATGTAAAACAGAAATATTTTGTAGTCGCTGTGGTGGTTGTCATATAGTTCTTTATGTTCCGACACCAACGAGACCAGCAGCTCTACATTCATCTTGCCTCGCATCTTCCTCGTCTTACTTCTCCTCGGCAGTGTAGACCATAGATATCCATAATAAAGGCCATTGGCCAGCAGCGCGGACGAGACATCTAGCCTTTATTATGGATATCTATGGTGTGTAGACGCTACTTGGCGTATATCTTCTTCGCCGTTACGTATGTGTGCTCGGCAAGACTGTTTTGTGCTTGAGCGCCCCCAAGGTGTGTTTTAC